TAAGAACAGTATAGGAAATGGAGTAGCCAAAGAACTTACATGTATAACCCATGGACATGAACTAAGAGGGTGTGGATTGCTGGAGGGAATGTGGGTACTAAGTGGAGGGTGGCAAAGTTGGGAAATAGGACAACTGTAATAGCATAATCAATAAAATATATTTTAAAAAGAGCAATTTCAATCACAAAATATTAGAGAATAATGAAAGTAGAAAGAGAAATGAAGTATTAGGGAAAGGGGAAAAGAAAAGAAAAGAGAATAAGAGAAAACCAAAGGACAGCAAAGTGATCATGGGAGGAGAAAGAGGGAGAAAACTAATATGAATAATGAATTGAAAGAGGAAAACAGGAAAAAATGGACAGAAAGAGAAAGAATAACAAAAATAAGAAAAGGAAAAAAGAAGAGAACAATGGGGTAATCACTAGTAAGAGTAAAATAGGAAATATGAAGGAAAAGAATACAGCAACAGAAATAAAAGAAAAAGAAAAAATAAACAAAAAGTAATAAACAGGCTCTGAAAAAGAAAAGAGAAGGAAAATAAAAAGAGCAGAGTGGAATTCGTCTCAGCAGAGTTTAGTGCTTGCCTGCTGGATTCTCCCTTTGGATATGGCTCTGATTAGTGTGAGACTGGTGTAACCCAAAGTCAGCTGCTGTCCATGTCTAGCCCTCGGCAGCTTGTTTGACACTACAAGCAATCCACAGTTTGTGGCTGATTCCTCCGGGCTTGGCTGCACCCAGGGTCGGCCTAGCTGCTCTGCAAATCTGGAATTTATCAGCACTGCGCCAGGGGAGTGTCAGCAATTGTCCCAGGTCACTGCAGTATCTGCCTCTACCTGTGTCTGCCTGCCTGCCTGCCTGCTGTCAGTCTTAGAGTCCTCGTAGATCTGAGTGTTTCTGAGGGAGCTTCTGGCAGACTCAGCGGTGTGGTGATCTCACTGGGTTTTCCCTTTGAATATGGCTCTTACGTTGCTTAGGCTGGTGTAAGTCAAGGCCAAGTGCTGATCATGTCTAGCTCTCAGCAGCCTGTTCAAAGCTACAAGTGATCCACAATTTGTGGTTGGATTCCTCCAGGCTTGGTTGTGCCTGTGTTGGGCCAAGCTGCACTGCCAAGCTGTTTTGTATCAGAGCTGGGTCCAGGGGTATGTCAGCAAGCAACCCAAGTCACCATAGGATACGCCTCTGCCTGTCTCTGTCTGTCTGTCAGCCTGCTGTCAGTTTTAGACTAGTCACAGACCCAGCCGGTTCTGAGAGGCCTTCTGGCAGAATGGGGTGGTGGTGGGAGAACTCCTGAAACTCCTGTGGCAGGTGCCTTTCAGACTTCAGGGTAGTTGGTGGGTGTGTTTCCTGAGCCACTAGTCTGAGTCTGTCTAGGGTTTTTTCCCTGTACTTGGCAGGGCCTCTTAGTAGGCTAATGGGTGGAGTCTCCAGAGCCCAGATTTTGGGTCTCCTGGAAAGCAGATGGTGTTTCTACGGCTCTCCTGTGAGGGGGAAGAGCCAGTCTATTTCCCAGGAAAGTATATGGTATGGCTGCACCCTGCAGCCGGTCCATCCATCCATTGTCTTCGACCCTCGAGTCTGCATATGTCAACAGGGGTTAACATGCAGGATGGAAGAAAAGAAATAAGGAAAAGAAAAAAACTCAGACAAAATACAGAATTAAACAAAAAAGAAAAAGAAAAAAAGGATGCAGGGTGAGGTGAGCAGGATTCCAGAGGGTGGAGGGAGTGGTATCCCACAGGGTGAGGTAAATGCTTTTCCCCTGGGAGGGGTCTGCTCTTCTCAAGAAAAATGGCTGCTGTAGAATCTGTATATCCCAGCACATAAAACCCCATGGCCACTCCCCCACACCTCTCCCCATTGTCTCCCACTCCAGCCTCTCCTCACACAACTCCAATCTGTGCTGCCTTTCCTTTGCTTCGGCCAAAGGTGAGTGGTTGTAAACACAAAACCTGTGCTTTGGCCCCTTTAAGAATTTAGAGGGGAAAAAAAATAGTGGCTTTGTCTCCAGTGGATCTTGTCTCTCCCCAGCAGTGAAACACTCTGTGGCCTTTCACCACTGGGTGCTATATGATCTGCTGATCCCGGCACTGGCGCTCTGTGCTTGGGAGCCCAGATTGTGTCCCCTGCTTCTCTCCTTTCAAGGGGAAGCTTCCACAGCTGTGCTGCCACCTCGGCCCACTCCCTTGTGAACCATCCAGCCCCTTAACCACCTCACCCTTCCTACAGGTCATGGTGTTTTTTCCTCTTTCTCCCCCCATCCTTGGTTAAAAGTCTCTTTTTTGGGTCATCTTTGGTTTACTTCGGGTATCTGGTCCTCTCTTTAGTTTCATTTCCAATTTGGTTCTGGGAAAAGGTGCACAATATATCCTCCTATTCAGCTGCCATCTTATGACCCCTACTGAATTCGGAGGCTCTGTTCTTGCATTCCAGTTCTCTATCCCCTGATCTTAAGGGAAAGTCTTCTTCCCTTAAGAAGAAGGTTTTCTGGAAGCATAACTGGGGGGGAAATGAGGAAAGGGAAGCAGAATCAAAGAGAGAGGCAGTATTAGAGAGACAGGAGTCCTCTGGGTGTTCTATGCATTAGACTATACAACCCTTGGCTGTAGGATATGTGAAGTCACCACAACTCATTCTACCAGAAGACCAAATGAGATTATCCTCCACCCTCTGATAAATAGTGAATGTATCGACCCTCCACGTGAATTTGTGTTTATTTATGGAGTCTTAGAACTGAGGATCAAAAAAAAATTTAAAAAGGCATCTATTTCCACCTTCAACTTGATGCTTGAATCTCTCTGCAACATTCTCATCCAGTCACCAGATGGCCTCTGCTTGCACATATCTAGTACCAGGGACCCCACTACTGATCAAAGCAGCTCATTCCATGGATGAACAATCCAAACTGTCAAGAGAGTTCTTTCTTGAGTGTGTCTCCCTTTTCGTCATTTCTACCGTTCTGCCTCAGGGCTCCCTTCTTGAGAATCAGAATAAATCTACTCCTCCTCCAGAAGTCCTTCAGACAGTTACAGCCAGTGGCCCGTCCTAGAAGGGGTCCCTTTCATTTTTTTTTAAGGTTTTTATTTATTTTTAGAGAGAGGGGAAGGGAGGGACAAAGATAGGGAGAGAAACATCAATGTGTGGTGCATCTCCCGTGCCCCCTATTGGGGACCTGGCCTGCAACCCAGGCATGTGCTCTGACTGGGAATTGAACCAGCAACCCTTTGACTTACAGGCTGGCATTCAGTCCACTGAGCCACACCAGCCAGGGCTAACTGCTTCTTATCAGACAGGATTTAAAAGTTCCACTCCCCCTCCCAATATGTCAGTTTGTTGGACAAGCTCCAATTTTTCCACATTTTTTTTAAAAGATTTTATTTATTTTTTTTAGAGAGAGGGGAAGGGAGGGAGAGAGAGGAACATCATTGTGTTGTTGCCTCTCACACACCCCCTATTAGGGACCTGGCCCACAACCCAGGCATGTGCCAACTGGGAATAGAACCAGCGACCTTTTCATTCATAGGCTGGTGCTAAGTCCATTGAGCAACACTAGCCCTACACATCCTTTCCACATCCTTTTTCAAAATGTGTCTCTAGAAGTAGACTCAGTATTCCTGGAATACTCTGTTTGGCACAGAAATGGGAACATACCCTTTTACTCTTTCCAAGGCCATACTTTGATTCCAGCAGCCTGAGTTCCCATTTGCTATTTTTAGCAGTACCACCACACTTCTGATTCATATTTTGCATCCTGTTGAGTAAAACCTTAATTTTGATGCCCACTGCTGTGTCGAGCAGCATTAGTTTAAATGCACACAGTATTCAAATATGTTCCATTGCTTTATATTTATGTCTGGACAATTATATAGTTTTATTTTAGTACTAAACACAAAAGAAGAATCTCAGGTTTTCTTCCTGAAGTTCAGGGAACACAGTCATTGCCAGAGCTACAGAGGGGGCAGAGTAGGGCCTGAGAATGGATCTGAATAGCCAGCACAGCCTGTGAAGCATTTATTTTTCAGTAGCCTGTATGGCCTCAAGTCAAATTTACATACAAGGAAGCAGAATATTACAGGGAAATACTACAGTGAAAAGAGCAGAAAATTGGAGCCTAGCAAACCCGATTCAAATCCCAGTCCTATCAGTTCCCACTTGGAACCTTGGGCAAGTTGCCTCAATTTCTGGAGCATCTGTAATTGGGGAAACAAATACTCCAGTGCTAGCAAACCCGATTCAAATCCCAGTCCTATCAGTTCCCACTTGGAACCTTGGGCAAGTTGCCTCAATTTCTGGAGCATCTGTAATTGGGGAAACAAATACTCCAGTGTTTTTCATTCAACAGCTATTCTTTAGCGAAAGCGCTTTTCTAACTTGAGGTGCTGAAATAGACCTTGATTATTAAGGTGTTATATCACATTCCTAACACTTCAGCGACCACATATGATCCCTCTCTAGTCTCACGCTCCTGCCTCTCCTACCCAACCACGCAAAGCTAATCCAGTTGTACTCTTGGCCAAACCCGGGTGACAACAAACGTGCCCGGGTCCCCAGCCTGTACCTAAGTAGTGGGAGGACAGGAGTTCTAATCTCATTTTTGCCATTTAATTGAATTACCCGGGGGCCTTCCCAGACCTGTTTCCTCATCCAGATAACGGGGATAAACACAGATAAGAGGAATGTGCGTGCGTGGTCGGGGGGCAGGGGGCGGGGAGAGGAGCGCGCGCGCGCGAGCTCTGTAAACTACGAAGGACAACAATCATTAGCCATCTAGAGCAGAGATGGTGAAATTTAAACCCGAGATCCTGAAGCTACCCCGACAATTAAGACCAGCGGTAGCGCAAGCCAAGGCAAGTAGAGGACCCAGGAAGGACTCCCTGCAGCCTGCTTGCGAGGATGTTGGTCCGCACGACTGGATTGGGCAGAGGCCTGGGAGAGGCGGGCCTTCCGGCCGCCTCCGCAGCAGTTGCCAGTAGAGACAGCCGCAGGGGGCGGAAGGAGCCGGCGAAATCTCGGGGCCCCGTAGGCACGGGGACTATGGCGGCCGTGGCGGTCTCGGAACCTGGGTGCCGGAATTGGTTCTTGTGCCCCGAGGTGCCATCCGCCACCTTCTTCACCGCGCTGCTCTCGCTACTGGTGTCCGGTCCCCGCCTCTTCCTGCTGCAGCCGCCGCTACCACCCTCCGGCCTCTCGTTAGGGTCCGATTGCCTGCGCAACTGGCAAGGTGAGCAGGGAGAGGCCGGGCCGGGTGTCAGCCCTTTTCCTCCGACCTCGCCAGACTCTGGGCTTCGGCCTCCCAGCACACGCGCCATCAGGACTTACCTCTAGCTACTTCGTACGCACCATCATTCTGTCCACCCAAAGACCAGCCCCATATTCCACGTCTTTGTGTTTTCATAGCCCCACCTTCGTCTTCATGGTAACCTCTCCGCATCTTAATTTATTCCCTTCTCTGTCGCCACCAGACTGATGAAGGCCCCCTCATACATTCTCTAGCAAACAGGTTTCGCTCACTCTTGCTCGCTCTTCGAGGAGGATTTTTCCTCTCCCCCTCTCTGGGCATATACACAGTTAGGTCTGCTTTAGGGCTTAACTCCCACTGCAATTTTTTTCTGGCTTTCCATCATGAAGACATTAAACGTTTATCTGCGGTTATACCTGTATGCGGACTGGACACTTAAAGTTTAGGATTTCTTCTGCTTCTTCGTTTATATCTCAGTCCTGACTCAGATTCCCAGCTCATGGGGAAAGGGGCATCTTACACGTTTGGGAGAATGGTTTGTTTTCTTTATGGGAGAGAAATTTGCGGACTAATTAAGTATTAAATGTCTGCTCCTAAAATTCCATTCTTTTCTGGGGAGAAAAATGGGGAATTTATATGACTTGCTGTTTTGCAGAGCACATGCACATGCATTAAACTCATTTAATCCTCTCGAGATCCCATGAGATAGGGTTTATTATTGCTCATTATTTAGATGAGACTGAGTCTTAATGCAGAGAATCACAGAGCTATGAAGTCATACAGATGAGACAACTCAGATTTTTCTTTTTATCATGTGATGTTTTGGAATTGGAGCTTTGGGATTTATAATCCTCAAACCATATAGAGTTGCTTCTAGAATCATCATATTTGTACTTGGAATTTTAAACCTGGAAGTATTCAACAAATAATGAAGTAATATTCAGAGAACGGAGACTAACAGACACGGCCTGACTGAGGAGCCTAGCCTGCCTCCCTGCTCAAATCTTAAACTTTCCTCCACCCACTACCTGACGCAGAGCATGTCATAGGCAGATGCAAGCTGTCAGCCTAAACTGAGCTCCCCGTTTTTCTTTCATTTACAGCTTCTCAGAATGTGGGGTTTGTGGGCATGTGAGTATTAGACACATAAAAAACCTTCAGAGATCTCAAGCATAACCCCATTACTGCACAGTAAGGAAACAGAAGCTAAGAGGGCCTGTGACTTGACTAAGCTCAGCATGATGGAACCAAGATTCCACTCCAAGTCTTTAGGCTCCCAAGTCCAATATTACTGCCCCTTCACTAGTCCCCCTCCTTCAGTTTACTGTTTTGGCTACAAGGACATAAAAGTACATAAGAGATGACTGCTTTTAGAAAAAGAAAAGAAATTCTTTGTTGTCTTATTGCACATAAAGTATTACTCTACTTATAGGATTGGGTAAGCACTTTAAAAGAGACTTTTGAGTTTCGTATCTATATTATTAGTGATAATTTTTATATCTTTTATATCTAGATTATAGTGATAATCTTTATAGGTGCAAAATAATTTATGGTCCCTTTTTTCTTCCTCTGAACAGCCACTATGGAAGGAGAGGTCAGGATTACAGCCGAGGAGACTGGCACACAGAGTGTTAAGGGACACCCACTCAATCCACCCTGAAGCTGTTACAATTAATTAACCCTCAAACTGCCTGGTGAGATAGGTCAGTATTAAAACCTAAAAAAGTGGCATAAAGCACAAATTACAAATTCGAAGACCATCCCATGTTAAAAAGGGTTTTCTTTTTCCACGTGGAAATCAGTCACTGATAATACTTACTCCAGGTGTGGGAAAGAGCAGAGATTTAGACATTCACGCCTTTACTTCGATTCTTGGGTTCTTCATTGTTGCTTCCCACTTCTTATCTTGGCTTCTGGCTGATTTTCACTAGCTCTCAGTACTATATTAAGGGGGTATTTGGGGTTATAACCTGTCCTTCCCACCTTGGAGCAACCCACTGTCAGGCTTCTAACCCAACTCCTCTGCAGTTTACAGGCTGGTGACCTACATCTTTGTCTATGAGAATCCAGTCTCTCTGCTCTGCGGTGCTATCATCATCTGGCGCTTTGCTGGCAATTTTGAAAGAACCGTGGGCACCGTCCGCCACTGCTTCTTCACCGTGATCTTCGCCCTCATCTCCGCTATCATCTTCCTGTCGTTTGAGGCTGTGTCATCACTGTCGAAGCTGGGGGAAGTGGAGGATGCCAGAGGTTTTACCCCAGTGGCTTTTGCTATGCTGGGAGTCAGCGCCGTCCGCTCTCGGATGCGGAGGGCCCTGGTATTTGGCGTGGTTGTACCGTCAATGTTGGTGCCCTGGCTCCTGCTGTGTGCTTCCTGGCTCATTCCCCAGACCTCTTTTCTCAGTAATGTCTGTGGACTTGGAGTTGGCCTAGCATGTATCCTTTTTAGAAGGGAATTGTAGAATGATGACATCCCAAAGGGTGAAGCAAGTTAGAGGGTCCAGGCAGGGGGTCACATAGATAGACCCATGGACTCTGGTGTAGGTAATACGGGTTCTAGCTTCAGCTTTGAAAACCATGTGGATTTAAGTGGGTCACTTCCCTTTTCTAGGCCAGAGTTCCCTCAACTGGAAAATATTAACATAGCTTTCTCTTCATACTAGCTTAGTACTAGCAGTTAGTAAAATATTCTGATTGGATTTTTTTCCTTATAAACTAAGGTGTAAATGTACATTTGACTAATTAAGTTAAGAGTTCATTGGAAGAATCTGAAATACCCATGAGGTGGAGAAGTTCCATGAAGAAATAGGAATCATAGGTTTTGTTTGGTTTAGTGTTTTCTCGGGTTAAAAACAACAACTTTTTTTTAATGATAGGTTTTTACTATATGAGTGGTTAAAAACTTAGCATAAGCCTTGCATCCCTTATATAAATATTCTGGCAGTTAAGGAGAAAAAAATCTAATATACAAAGTAGATTACATCTTTAAAAACATCAGAACTGTAGTGTTCGGTTAGACAGTTGCACTCCTAAAATCTCTTATTTGTGACTCAGGTATTAGGGTAGGTAGTATATAAATAAATACATATTGATAATATAGGTAATTTTTACATTTTAATTTTATTGATTTTAAATTTTATTGATTCCTAATGAAAATTTAAACCTAAATATTCTCCTGTAAGCACTACTTTAGCTACATCACATAAATTTTCATATGTTGCATTGTCATCACTTGGTAAAAGTATTTTCTAATTTTCCTTGGGATTTCTTCTTTGACCCAGGGGTTATTTATAAGTGACTTTTTTAATTTCTAAATATTCAGTGATTTTCCAGATTTATTATTGTTACTGATTTCTAATTTTATTTCATAAGGTAGAGAACATCTTTTATAATATTACAGTCCTTTTAAATAAGTTCTGGTCCAGCATTTGGTGCATCTTGGTAAATACTCAATGTGTATGTGAAAAGAATGTTGATTGTTTAGGTGGTGGGTTTATGTCAGTTAAGTCAAGGTGTTAATATTGTTCAAACCTTCTATATCCCTATAGTTCTCACAATTAGTGAGAGGACTGTTAAAATCTCAAACTAAAATTGTGGATTTGTCCAATTTTTCCTTTCAGTTCTTGTCAGTTTTTTCTTTAAGTATTTGAAACTGTGTTATTGGATGCATACACAGTTAGGGTTGTTATGTCATCTTAATGAGTCCCTCCTTTATCATTATGAAATTGACCCTTTAATCTGTTACTCTTCTTTGCCTTAAAGTTTCTGTTGTCTGATACTAACATAATTATTCCAGCTTTCTGCTTTTCTTAAAATTGGGATTTACATGGTATATATTTTTCCATCCTTTTTAAAAGATGTGTATTTCTATACCAAACATGTTTCTTACAGATAGCATATAGTTGGTTCTCCAATCTTTGCTTTTTAAATGGCATGTTTAGCTCATTTACATTTAGTGTGATTTTCAGTATGGTTGAGGTTAAGTCTACCAGTTTGGTGTTTGTTTTCTCTTTGTCCCAAATGTTCTTTTTTTTCTCTTCTGCCTTCAAGTACATTTTTAGAATTTTATCTTCTCTGTTTGACTATTAACCTCTTTGTTTTATTTTTTAGTAGTTGCTTTAGTGTTTACAATAGCATTTTTAGTTTATCACAGACTCCTTTCAGATAATACAGTGTGGGGCAAAAGTATGTTTATAGTTGTGAGTATACAAAACACAGTTTATCCTTGTATTGTTATTGTGTTATTTTCCATACAAGTAATTATAAGCCTACTTTTGTCCCACCCTTTATATACCACTTTGTATATAATGTAAGAATCTTACAGTACTGTATTTGCTTTCCTTCCTTCTTATCCTTTGTGTTATTGTCATACATTTTACTTCTGCATATTATAAACCTCATAATACATTGCTGTCATTTTTCTTTTTTTTTTTTTAAGATTTTATTTATTTATTCTTAGAGAGAAGGGAAAGAAGGAAGAACGAGAGGGAGAGAAACATCAATGTGTGAGGTACACATTGATTGGTTGCCTCTCGCATGTCCCCAACCAGGGACCCAGCCCACAAACCAGGCATGTGCCCTGCAGCCTTTGGGTTCGCAGGCTGGCCCTCAATTCACAGAGCCACACTAGCCAGGGCTTAATTTTCTTTTTAATTTTACTTACTGAGAGAAGGGGGGTAGGGAAGGAGAGAGAGAGAAAGAGATAGAGAGAGATCAGTTGTTGTTCTACTTATTTACACATTCATTGCTTGTTGCTTATATGTACCCTGACCAGAGATCAAATCTGCAACTTTAGCATATGGAGACAATGCTCTAACTAACTGAGTTAGTTGGACAGGACCTATTACTTTTGTTTTAATTCTGTTACTTTTGGTTTAAACAGCCAATTATATTTTTTAAATTATAAAAGCAACTTTTACTCACATATTTACCATTTGTATTTCTCATCATTCTTTTGTGTAGATCCAAGTTTCCATCTAAGATTTTTTTTTAACCTGAAGAACTTCCTTTAACATTGCTTCTACAGTGGGTATGCTGGTGATAAATTCTTTCAGCTTTTGATTATCTGAAAAATGCCTTAGCCTTCTCTGATCTCCTTTCACTTTTAAAGATGTCATTGTATCACTTCTGATTTGTATTGTTTCTGATGAGAAATCAGTGATTATTTTTATCATTTCTGTGTTTAATTCATTGTTTTTCTATGGCTCCTTTCACAATTTTTTCTTTATCATTACTTTTTAGATATTTATCAGGTGACTTCAGGTCATTTTCTTTGTGTTTACCCAGCTTGGAGTCATTGTTCTTGAAACTGCGAGTTTAGAGTTTTTATCACATCAAAAAATATACATATCATTTTAATTTTTTTTAAAGATTTTTATTTATTTATTCCTAAAGAAGGGAAGAGAGGGAGAGAAACATCAGTACGAGGTTGCATCTTGCACACCCTCCGCTGAGGACCTGGCCCACAACCCAGGCATGTGCCCTACACTGGGAATCAAACTGGTGACCTCTTGGTTTACAGGCTAGTGCTTTTTTTAAGTATTTTTTTTTCTACCCTCTCCTCTCCTCTCCTAGGGTGCCAATTACACAAATGTTGAACTACTTGATATTGTTCAATGGATCCTTGATGTTTTATTTATTTTTTATATTTCAGCTTTTTTTTTCCCTTTATATTTCAGTTTGGATAGTTTTTATCACACTGCCTTCAAGTTCAATGATCTTTTCTTCTGCAGTGTCTATTCTGCTGTTAAACCCACCCAGTTTTTTATTTGCCGTGTTGCATATCTCAGCACAAGAGGTTCCATTTGGTTCTTTTTTTATAGTTTTTATTTCTGTATTGAGATTATTTATCTCTTCCTTCATTATATTTATGTTTTTGTTTAAACACATGTACTTATTTATAAAAGCTATTTAAAAATACTTGTCTATTAATACAATCATCTCTGTCATTTCTGGATCCGTTTCTTTTGACTGATTTTCCTCCTGATCATGGACCCCATTTCCTTCTTTACTTGTCTTGTAATTTTTATTTTATGCTATACATTGTGAATACTCTGTTACTGAGGGCTGAATTTTGTTATTTTCCTGTAAAGTGTTTTGGTTTTTTTTTCCTGCTAGGCAATTAATATACTTGTTAAAGCATTGCCCTTTTGGAAGTCTCTTCTGAATGCCCTGGGTGTTCAGTGAGTTCTCTTTACTCTGGTTAAAACTTGATCATGTCCCTGTCCTGTGAGAGTTCCAAGAGTTGTTAAGCTTATAGTTGCTTCCTCGGTAGCTGTTGTTTGCATGACTTGATGAGTCTCAGCCTATTTATGTGCATGTTCATATTCAGCTAAAGACTCAGGGAACTCCTGTGCACATTTTGGAGGTCCTGCTGTGAGCAGCTCCCTCCTGTCCATTACTCTGACCTGTAAATCCCAGGGACTTCTTCCTCTCTGAGCTCTGTCTCTCCAGCTTAGAAAAAAATGCTTTACTATGCTTGGATTCCCCTTCCTGTGCTGTAGTTGGGAAAGTGCCTCCAGGCAGAAAGCCATCTTGATCTTGAGGCTCATTTCATTTGTTTCCCCTTTGTTAGGTATCACAGCCTCATAGTGTTTGTTGTCCAAAGTATGAAAACAATTGTGTAAAATGATGTATCCTTTCTTTTAGTTATTTATGGTGAGAAGACTAGTCTAGTAGTATTACTTTATCAAAGTTGGAAGAGGAATTTGTCATTCTCCTTCTTGAGATCATTCTGAAGTTATCAACCATGACAACTTCTGACTTCCTTATAGCATTGGTTATCACCTGGAATTAATATTCGGAAACAGACTGTTCTCCCTAAAAGAATTTAGAAATATACAGGGGAATTTTTGGTTATCATAATGACTAGGTGCTACTGCCATTTAGCGGCTGGTAGTGGCCAGGGGTGCCAAATGTCCTGTAATGAGTGAAGTGGACCAGTCCAACAAAGGATTATCATGCTGAAAATGCCAGTAGCACTCAAGATAAGAAGACTGCCTAAAGAAACAACTTCATCTTGGTGCTTCTGTAGGGATGCCTTCTCTCCCACCCCCAACCCCCGCTTCTAGGTATTGCTACTCACAATTTAAGGTTCAGCATACATGTTACTTCCATAGAGAAAGCCCTCCATGATATCTCTAGACTAGGTTAGGGTTGGTCCCCAGCAGGGTCTTCCATAGATCAGCTTTTTGCTTATCACCACTTATTCTACCCCAATTACTTACTCCTTGCCTGGCACTTGCTACTTATTCCTTAGTTCCTGGCTTATGTTAGATGTTCAATAAATACTTGTTGAAAGGATGAATGGATGGACAGATAGAGGCTGAAACTTTGTGGCTACCTAGGCAGTGGTGGGCTGACACAGGTCAGATGACCAGAGGGTCATCTCTTCACGGGGATAGTGACTGTGCAGGCAGCGCTGCCAGAGAGACCCACATAAAGCTCACTTGGTCATATTGAGGCAAGAGGCCTTCTCTTTGGGACAGAAGTGTAAGATGATAATTGGTCCCCTCTATAAGGTATTAAGACAGCCTCTTGCCTCATCCCACCGCAAGGGTGGAGGTGTGTGCTGGCTTATGGGATTAGAGGGGCTCAAGAAATAGGATGGGTTAGCATAGGGGAAGGTGAAACGTTAACACCTATCTGCCTCTTCCTGGTGTTGGGACCTGTTCCCTCTGAGGTAGAGGGGACAAAAGCTCAGCTCTTGTCTTCCCTTGAGCTTGAAATTCCAGTCAGAATTTATGATGGAAAAGGCACTGATGCCCCTGTATAATAAATGTGGGAACATGTATTCTTCTCTGGGGAGTGTTCAGCCCTCCTCTCTTTGGCTGCCTCCAATTTTACTTAATATGCCAACCTCAGATGGCCTCACATACTGCTATTCCCTCGACCTCTCAGAGCGAGTGGCATTGAAGCTTGACCAGAAGTTCCCTTTCAGCCTTATGAGGAGGATTTCAATGCTCAAGTACATCTCAGGCTCTTCAGCTGAAAGAAGGGCAGCCCAGAGCCGGAAGTAAGTAAAAGAACGCTTAAATCTTATTCTTAAAGCAATTCCAGGGCCTGTGGGAGGTGTGATGAGTTCAGTGTCATGGGAAAAAATGTATAGGATGTGGGTAGCCCTGGGCCCAGGAAATCAATGCACAGATGTCTTTTGAGCACTCTATATTCCACCCAACTGCATCTGAGTCGAGAAGTGAGCAGGAGTGGGAAAGGGAAGGCATCAGGAGCACTTGTGCGTAAAGCACTTTGAGTGACTGTGGCAGACTGAGAGGGAGTGGCCCTGCCTGGTGTTGCTACCAGCCCTCAGCACTGACGAGCGCTCTGCAGGTCACGCTGGGCGCTAGCTGGCACACTGGTAAGAAGCACGGGCAGTTCACACAGGCCCCTCAGTAGCTTAAGAGGTAGCACAGCCCAAGACCTGAAAAGTAGGGTTTTCTTAGCCACCCAGTAAGGGAAGGTGAGGTTTACTATTTTCTAGTCCAGGCTCGTTAACTCTCAATGAAAAGTGTTAGGCAAGCTTTCAGAAGCTCTTGTAGCCTCATTCCTTCCTTTTAGAGGAGGCACAAAGAAGGTGACTGTCTGCGTGTGACACAGGTGGGAGGACTCGGTCTAGAGCTAGGGTCTCCTGCTTCCGGGTCTTCCTCACTCCCTTTCCCTGTGCCACACTGCTGGCCGCTCATCCGCCTCTGGTTTCTGTCCATGCTGAGACCTCACACTATAAGAGGTCTTCTCTTCAGCGGCCCTTCTGAAAGGAAGGACTGACTCACTGTGAAGGCAAGTGTCAGTAGCCCTTTTCTACCCTTAATCCATGTGTGGAGTAAATTTTGCCCTCCATGCCTGTCTGGATACAGGGTTTGGATTAAATTGGAAGCTATTCTTATTTCAGGAGGTGAAGATTCTCAGCTTTCATCAGCTCAAAGCCTTTCGACTATTTTTTCAAAAAATAAAGATGTTTTTAAATTTTTTTATAATCCTCATCTGAGGATTGCTTTCAAAAAGAGAGGAAGGGAGAAAGAAAGAAACATCGATTGGTTGCCTCCTGTATGCGCCCCGACTGGGGATTGAACCCACAACCTTTTGGTCTATGTGATGAATCTCCAACCAGCTGAGCCACACCGGCCAGGGACCTTTGACCATTTTTTAAAGGCACATGTTTGGAGGGGTGGGTAACTGCAAAAAGCAGAAACGCAGATTCATCCACTTTGCTTCAGGCAAGTAATGCCTGGGGTCTAAATGTATGGGAGGCTGTTTAAATGTAGTGACGTGAATTGTGACTTTTTGGCTTTTAGTTGTTCTCATGAAGTCTTGAGAGGACTTAAGGGGTTCTCGAGTGCAATCTCCCACTCTGTGAAAGAGCTCTTTCTAAACAGTTGGTAGTGGTCACAGTCACCCAGCCATAACTTATACCCCATGGTGACTGACGTTCACCCTCCAAGGCAGCCCCTGATGAGAAAGTTCTTCCATGCTGAACTGCAGTCACTGCTCTGTCACTGTGACCCTTTGGTGCCAGGTGTGACCCTGCATTACCATGACATGCAGATCTAAGTGGGGTGACAGGGTAACTTTTTCAGTTCCTTCCATGTTCCTCATGGCATTTGGCCGCCATTATCCTGGCCTGCTGCTGGCACCCAGAACAGAACGTGGGCAGCATTGCAGCATGTATGCCTGAGCCATTGACATGGCTGTTTGGACAGCCTTGCCCCCCTGGAGGGTCTTGTCAAGCTCTGAGAGCGCAAAATCTCTACATTTTAAGGTATCCCGGAAGAAGTACTGTTAAGTGTCCTGTGTCTGTACTTATACATTTGATTTGTAAGGCCAGGTTTTAATTCAAATGTGTACAGATTCAGTCCAGTCACCTAACAGACATCAGTGGTGTTGGCATTCACTCTGTACATTTGGAACTTTGCACAAAAGTTCAGAGGATAAAACCCTGAGGCTGTCTCCGTTCACGGTCCCATCCACATGAGTGTGTGGTGAGGACTTTAATCTCAGCACAGATCATTCCCTGCATCTCTCACTTCAGTTTCTGCCCGCTGGGGCTTTGAGCTGCAAGTGTGTGTTCCTGAAATCACAGGTAGAAAATACCACAGCAGGTAGGGCCTGGGCCCAAGCCCTGTATTACCCCATTAGAGCCTCCCCACCCTCCTTACCACTGGCGTGGATCCACTCTTTTGGGGTCGAGTTGCTCAGCCAGCCACTGTCTACTGGGATCTGGTCCCCATCTGTCTGTCCGGTTTGCAAGCTGTTGTAAGTAGATTACACCCAGGCCGTCTCAGTCGCAAGTCCAGTATCCCGTCCCCCTGCTGGCTTGCTGCAGGACCTTTGCTCTCTAGGCATCTGTTTTCTGTTTGAGTTTAACCTTTCTCCGTCCTTGGTATTTAGAACAAGTTAGAGCAAATATCCAAAACATGTTGTAATAGTAAGCAGCACAGTGACTCCAAGCTTTCCTCATGTGGAATGACAGCTGTGGGTGCTGTGTGCCTTGGCATTTCTAGCTAAATGACTGTTCTCTCTTGTTCCATTCCAGGCTGAACCCCGTGCCCGGCTCTTACCCCAAGCAGAGCAGCCACCCTCACCTGTTCCTGAGCCACCCTGTTGCCCAGATGCAGCACACCGATGGCCAGAAACTAGCTTCCTGGCCAGCCTGTGCTGCTGGTTCTGGGCACATGCCCAGCCTGCCTCCCTACCAGCCTGCCTCTGGCCTGTGTTATGTGCAAAACCATTTTGGCACAACACCTAACTCCTCCAGTGTCTGCCCGGGTTCCACAGGGGTCTCCTTAGGGGTCCAGCCCCCTGCCCCTCTCAACTGCCCTGGAACTGTATGTTCTGGGGCCCTGCCCACTCCAGTGACCACAGCCTCCAAGGAGGGCTCAAGGGTCCTGATCCCCTGAAGGGGAATTTCTAGGGAGATTATCTTACATATTGGCCTTCTGAAGAAGGTCCCCTCTGAGCTGAGGTTTTCTTGACAAAAAATTATTTATTGAACACCTCTATGTGCCAGGTTCTGTGTTAAGAACTTTGATATATGTCTTTATTTCATCCTCATGACAATTTTGTGAAGTTTATTGTCCCCACTTTATACCTGCATTACCAAGACTGATTACATGAAGTTGACCAGCTCTGTAGTGGCACAGTTGGGCTTCTTGGCTCCAGGCACAGGGCTCCTCCCACCTGCTGTCCTGCTTCCCAAAGAATACCTGGTTGTCAGTGACTAGTTCCAGCTGTAAGTTTTCTTCCTGCCACTGTGTATAGAGCTCTTGATTGTAGTGTGTGCGTGTGTGTCTGCCCTTCTGGAGCTCCCAGCTGGTGTGCTCGGCAGTCTCCAGGCCTTCGTAGTGTTTCTCCCCTGCCGTGACTGCCCACTCCCCACCCCTTAAGGCTTCCGCCCCAGCATGGTGAGAAGGACCAACGTGGATGGCAGCAGCATGCTGGTGGCTCCATAATGTCAATTACCTTTGTATAAAGAAACAACCTCTAAACTGCCTGTTTGTGGTCTCTTTGTGGTCTGGCTGGGGAAGGTAGAGCAGGAATTGGGCAGGGGTGATACAGGTGCAATCGCAAAGACGAGAGAGAGCAAGGGTCAGATCATGAAAACCTCCTCCGCCCAGTGGGTATCTCATGGGGAATGAGTTGCTAAGGTGCTGGGAAAGGGTGTTGAAAGGGCAACAGCAGTCTGGCAATCTTGAGACTGGCCAAGCAGGAAGCCAGTGCTGCCGCTGAGGGAGGATGGGGTGTTACCAGAGCTCCAGGTGTAATCAGCACAAGAAGGGCTGCCTGGCAAGACCTTAAACCAAGGAGTGAGTAATACAGTGACGGCATCTGAAGCAAGAGTCGGGGAGAAGAGCGCTAGTTTCTCTGCCTGGCAGCTAACATAAGGGTCTCCCATGGGCCAAATTAACCAGGAACCTTTTGGCAAGTGAGCCCAGAAAGTAGTTTGGGGTGGGGGGTGGCTCCTCTGATGAAGCGAAGGACAGGACAGGAATATAAGCCAACAGGCACTTGACCAGCCTGAGCAGAGCTCCTGGCTTTGGATGAGCCATCAGCTGGAGCCCCTTGCGGTGGGATCCCATTCAGAAAACATGCCAGGCCATGGGTGTTTTTGTGGGTATCATAACATTTGTTAACTCCAGCAGCTGGATGACCTACTTCTGGGCTGGTTCTGGGCTACCCTGACAGGTTCTGAGTATTAGAGGTAGATAAGACACACATCCATCCAGGCTGGATGAGGGCAGGCAGTGACAGGCACCTTTGTGGCCTGCAATAGATACGAGGGTAGAAGATGAAGCTTAAGAGGACAACTCCCCGGCTGGATTGTGAAAGGACTGCCAACTAAGGAGTTGGGTGCCCAGACTACAGCTGGGGTTTGCCCGCATCGCAGGTCTAGCAGGGCCTGGCCTGGAGCCTCTGTCTCTGACCACAGCTGGCACCTTCTGCATAGTGTTACTTGTTCAACACAGGCTGTTGTGTGTCCCTTAGGTATTTTCCCTCCACTCCAGTGTCAGGCCTTGTACCCAGAAGCAGATGAGAGGGTCACCTGCTCCCAGTGTGGCAGGGTGTCATCCCTTTTGTCTGACCTTCCTGTGGACTGTGCTGTGGAGCTGTGGGCCTCGGAGATGGTCTGCCGGGGAGGCCCTCTTTCAGGTCCCCGAATAGCAGACCTGTGAGGGTCCTCAGAGGTCGTTCAGTCCAACCATCTCCCCCGCCCCTGGTTTTACTAATGGAGTTCCAGGGAGGCAGGGTGGGGCTGGCGGAGCAGCCAGTAGCAGCCCCTGACTTGGGCCCCTACCACAACTGCTGCTCTAAGTCTGCTGCTTCTTAGTGTGGATGAAAAAGGAACACAAATTAAATCTGACAAGCTTAAGGGGAGGCCTGAGTGGTGGCCTTAGTAACTCAGAGACCTAAAGTAACCACAAAGAATGGTCCAAAGTGAAAACGAAAACTAAAACTAAAAGCAGTTTATGGCAAGTAGTTATGTCCTAGTCTAGAATCTTCCCTGACAAAAGTCAACCTTTACCTTAATTAAGCCTATCCTCTTTTTGCATATATAATAACAACCTTTGGGATGTCAAAATAATTTCCTTTGGCTGGACCCCACAAAGCACAGGCACCACACCAGAGCACCAAAGTGGATACCACAAATCCTCTCCTTGTTACTGAGTTAGTTGTTGACTGTTAACTGTCCTGCACCCACCTGTGTAAAAGAAGTGTCTATCGTTTACTTTTTATCCAATCCCAGAAGTTTTCCTGCTTTGCTCCCTCCCACCTCCCTAATATACCACTAATGGATTTCATGTAACCCACTTATGTGTTCTCTCTTTTTCCCAATTAATTAAGTGCATTTTATTGATTATGTTATTACAGTTGTCCCAGTTTTTCCACATAGCGTTCATTCTCCCATGTTCTATGCATTGGTTTTTGTTTGAAATATTCCATAATAAAAAGCTTTGCTTTTCTTTAAAGCGCTCTCAGGCGCCAGACGTGAAGCGGAGGAGGAGCATGAAGGCCTGGGACCTGGGCCAGCCGGGGTGAGGGCTGCGGCACAGCCCCATCCTGAAGGGTGGCCCTGTTCAGCTCCAGCCGCTTCAGACAGATATCACTGTGGGCCTGATGGGGCCAGGTTCTCTGCCTTTTTTTTTTTTTCCTCTCAAAGCTTTTAAAAAAAATTTTAAAAATTTATTATGTTATAAAGTTGTCCCAATTTTTCACCCTTTGCCCCCCTCCACCTGGTACCCCCATTCCCTCCAGCAAGCCCTCCCATTTAGTTCATGTCTATGGGTCATGCATATAGGTTCTTTGGCTTCTGCATTTTCTATACTGTTCTAACATCCCTTTGTCTGTTTTGTACCTACCAATTATACTTCTTAATCCCTGCGCCTCCTTCCCCAACTCCCACTTCTCCACCTTCCACCTCCTAGCTGATAACCCTCCAAATGATCTGCATATCTATGATTCTGTTTCTGTTCTGATTGTTTGATTAGTTTGTTTTCTTAGATTCAGTTGTTGATAGTTGTGCATTTGTTGCCACGTTAATGTTCATTGTTTTGATCTTCTTACTTTCCTTAATTAAGTCCCTTTAACATCTCATTTAATAGTGGCTTGGTGATGATGAATTCTTTTAGCTTTACCTTGTCTGGGAAGCACTTTATCTGTCCTTCCATTCTAAATGATAGCATTACTGGATAGAGCAATCGAAGTTGTAGGTCCTTGAGTTTCATCACTTTGAATACTTCTTGCCAGTCCCTTCTTGACTGCCAAATTTCTTTTGAGAAATCAGCTGATAATCTTATGGGAACTCCTTCGTAGGTAACTCTGCTTTTCTCTTGCTGCTTTTAAGATTCTCTCTTTATCTGTAACCTTTGGCATTTTATTTTTAATTTTTAAGATTTTATTTATTTATTTTTCAGTGAGGGGAAAGGAGAGAGAAAGAAGGGGAAACATCAATGTGTGGTCGCCTCTTGTGCACCCCCTGTTGGGGACCTGGCCCCCAACCCACACATGTGCCCTGACTGGGAATCGATCCAGCAACCCTTTGGTTCACAGGCCAGCACTCAACCCACTGAGCCACATGAGCCAGGGCAAACCTTTGGCATTTTAATTATGATGTGTCTTGATGTGGTCCTCTTTGGGTCCAGCTTGTTTGGGACTGTATGTGCTTCCAGGACTTGTATGTGTATTTTCCTTCACCAAATTGGGGAAGTTTTCTTCCATTAGTTTTTCAAAAAAGTTTTTAATTCCTTGCTCTTCCTCCTCTCCTTCTGGCATCCCTATGATTCAGATGTTGGCACATATGGAGATGTCCAAGAGTCTTCTTATACTATCCTCGTTTGTTGGGGGAGGGGGGTGAATTCTTGTTTCTTCTTGCTGTTCTGATTGAATGTTTATTTCTTCCTTATGTTCCAAATCATTGATTTGAATTCTGGCTTCCTTTTACTGTTGGTTCCCTGTAGATTTTTTAAATTTCACTTAGTATAACCTCCATTTCTCCCTTTATGTTGTTGCCATACTCAATGAGTTCTTTGAGCATCCTGATCACCAGTGTTTTGAACTCTGCATCTTATAGGTTGGCTATCTCCATTTCATTTCATTCTTTTTCTGGGGTTTTGTTGTTCTTTTATTTGGGCCGTATTTATTTGTCTCTTTGATTTGGCAGCCTCCCTGTGATTGTTTCTGTGTATTATCTAGAGCTGCTTTGGCTCCCTGTTAAAGGCACCCGTAAATTGTATGGGGCAGAGCCTTACGTAATCGCCAGAGTGGGGCAGTCCCCTTCACTGCTTTGTGGCTCTGTGTGAGGCGAGGGCTCGAAGAGGTGACTGCTGCTGCCCGGCTTCTTGGGGTTGCTTAGTACTCGCCCCATTTCTAGTCACTCCACCCATGCCCTGTATGCAACTGGTGCCCTTCCAGCTGTTACCCTGGTGATGAATCCCAGAGTGGGTGGGTTTGCATACATTTTAAGCAGAGTCTTCTGAAAATTTGGTAGTTTATTCCACCGCCCCCACCCCCACTGGTTTTTACAGCCAGAAGTCATGGGGATTTATCCTTCTGGCACTGGAGTCTTGGATTGTGTGGTCGGGCCTGGGGCTGAGATTACTTTCTCCCAAGGTGTCCCTCCCAATTTTTATCCACCACATGTGAATGTGGGACCGCCTGTGCCTGTTCTGCTGCTGCCACACCAAGTCTCCTCACTTCACCTCATATCCATGTCTCTACCCTTTCTACACATGTGGACGATTGTGGCTTCTTTAAATCCTTGGTTTTCAGACTTCCATACAGTTCAATTTTCTGACAGTTATTATTTGTTTTGTGATTTAGTTGTAATTCTTTTTGTAGTTGTGTGAGAAGATGAAGCATGTCTACCTATGCTTCCATCTTGACCAGAAGTCTTCATCCCATGTCTTCTTTTTCAGTTGTAATGTATAAATTACAACTGAAAAACTGCCATTCTCTGGAGCATTTTCTCAGTCTGTTGAGATTTTGCTTCCCAGCAATTGTCATCTGTTTGAATCAAATAAACTCATAAAAAGTTCTTACAGGCTTGGTTGTTTCTTAGGCTGACATTAGGCTTTTTGTTCTCCTGGACTTCCATTGGTCTGGCCACAGCAAACAGCAGGAAGCCTGGACCCAGGTCAGAGAGAGCCATTTCTCCCCTTCATATATATTTTAGAGGACCTAAAGGAGATCCAAAGTCCCTTCCCCATTTGCCTATTGAATCATCCATTAGTGTGTCCCATGTACAAAAACACCGAGCATCTGCCAATACTCAGGCTGTGGCTAGAGACTGAAATGAAGATACAAATCCACCCAGACTGGTACAAATCCACCCCAACACAATATTTGTTGAACGAATGAATTAACACGTGATCCCTGCCTTTGAGTTCAGGGTAGGGGCTGAGAGGAGGGAATGGACAGAAAGAGAATTGTAATTCAATGACACTTTTCAGGTGCTCAGAAGCCCCCCAGATCGGCCTGGAGAGCTGGGGTGCAGGGAATCAGTCAGACACTGAGCACATACCCTTCCATGGAGGGAGTGGGCTTCAGAGGGGGAGAAGCAAGAAGGCACCAACCGTGTCCATTGACTATTGTTAGGAGAGTGAAGAATATACCACATTCAGGGTAAGGGAAAGCCATTGTTCCCTGCACTCCAAAAACTTCTCTCATCCCCAGGCAAGACAGGATCTACTGTAGCCAGAGAAACTTCCAGACTTTGTCCAGTTTCCTATCTTAATCAGCAGGAAGCAGCAGAGAAGCAGAATTGCACCATTGCAGCCTCTAAACACCCTTCCCGGGGCAAGCTGTGCTCCCCAGCTCTGTGGGTACAGAAGGGAAAAAGCTGGTTCCTGTCCTGGAAGAACCCACCAGTCAGATTTATGGATAACTACAGCACAAGATAAGGGCTGTGGAAAGCATGTAATGAGAAATTCTATGAGGCTTCATTCCTTCAAGCACCTGTTCATTCATTCATTCTTTCTTTCTTTCATAACAAACATTTTGTGAGGAACTATTGAGTTCCAGGCCTGTTCTAGGCCCTGTGGACATGAAGATGGAAAAGAACCAGCCCTGCCTTGGATGGACTCATAGTTCATTAAGGGAGGCATGCGATGTGGAGTGAGATTGAGAGGAGCCCACCTGAGAGGGTCACAGAAGAGACTTCTGAGCGGAAGAGAGTTAACTTGGCAAGGGAGGGACCAGGAAGACAGAGGCTGACAGTGTGAGCAAAGACAGGCATGCAGGGGTCCAGTAGGTGAGGTGGAGAATGGGAACACAGAGGATACGAGGGCAGATAGGAATTTGATGGTTGTAGTAGTGTAACCTAGCAAACGGGCCCATGCACATGGTGCCTTGGTGCATCACCCAACAATCAGTGTTGAGGGAAACAGGTTTTTATTTACAGGATTTAAACTTTGGGGTGGGGGTAGGGGTTGAGAGCCCTCCTGCTTGGAGCCCTGTTCTCCCATGAGACCCAGTACTTCTGCTCTCTACCAGGCTATAAGCCAAAAACATGCCCCAAAATTCCCCATATCATTATCTTTTCTTAAACCAGATGCACAGTTTTCATCCCCCCTGGAAAATACATTCATGGGTGTCAGAATCGCCATCCTCTCGCAGCAGCTTTCTCCTTCAGGATCTGGGGTACATTGTCCTCAGCCTCCTTGTAGTGGTCCGGAAAGACAGGTTCTGTGTTACGCTGGATCATGATGGAGTCCAGGATGGCACACATCCCAAGAGAGTGGCTTCTCTGTCCATCCTTTAGGGAAGCCGAAGTCTACAGTCTCAGCATTCCCGGTCACAGTGTCGCATTCCAGACATTTACCATGAACCTGTGCTTGGTTAGGCAGTTTCCCGCAATTCCCAGCTCCATTAGCTTTGCTGGCGTCTTCTTCAGGCAGGTTTCCCAGCGGGTTTCCTCTTTCTTACTCCAGCTGCTTCCTCATTACAGACTGCATGCCTCCTTCTTTGCTCCACCAGGGCACATGGTGGAAACCTGACTGCAAACTGCATAGCTGCGTCCTGCTTCCTTTCTCAGACCTCATGGCCGAATCCCCTTACTTCATGGCTCCTTCCTCATGGCTCCCTCCCAACTCTTGGCCTTCATGGCAAAATTCTCAGAGAAGCAGAAGTAGCTTCTCTTTCACTGCAGACAGCATGGTGGAATCCCCTCTTTCAGTCCATCCTTATTTTAAATGCTGACCTGGAGTTTCCTACGTGACCTAATATCTGGCGCCTCCTACAATGAGCTACTTTTGCCAGTTCCTCTGTATCTTGTACATTCATTCAGCTGCCATCTTTACTCAGGGCAAGAGTGACAGTGACACAGGGGCTCCATGCAGGCGTTCACTTCCCCTGGCTAAGTCAGGAAGCGCTATACATTCCAAAAGTCACCACTCCTTTTGCCCTGGGGCAGCAGCCTACTTCCCTTCAGGAATGACAGCTATCCACTTGCCATTGTAATGCAAAGGATCTTAAATGCTGTATCATTCGCTTACCCTTCCCCCAATGAAGGGCTTTGGGGGATGTTCTTGGAGACCCCTACTCTGCACCCCATTATAGTAGCCCAAGCTGGGAGTGATGAGAACCTTGCCTGAGGTCCTGGCAGTGGGCCTGGACAGGCAGAAACAAAGCCCAGTTAGAGCACAAAGTGACTCTCTGGGGTCACATGGAGAGTGTGGCTGAGCTGAGAGTGTGTATGCAGCTTTCTCACTTGAAGTTCAGTGCTCCTATCCTGCCTCAAGAGAGTGGAACGGGAGAGGTTCCAGAGCAAGGTTGGAGGCAGGGCAGACCTGTAGGATGGAGTTTCCCCAAGCATGAAATGGTGGGAGATGGGGAGCTGGCTATCAGGTTGGGCACTGGACTCTTGAGCTCTTGGGACCTACAAGAGAACCTCCTGGGCCTCCATCCCAGAATGCTTCCTGAGCTCTGGTATCAATGCTTAGACAGTCACTAGCTGTAAGAGCAGCACCCCAACCTGGACCTGAAGCTTGAGTCCTAAGGGACCTCCATGCCATTCCCAGATCACAAGTTGCCTGGTACCTTGCTCCATGGTTCTGTTTTGAGCCTACAGCCCCTCCCCAAGGAAGGTCTCCAAAGGCTTGCTTGTCCAAAGGACCCTTGAGCCATGGCCAGATCACATCCTAAAGCTGCCAGCTTAATGGAATTCCTCTTCCCGGGGGCCTAGCTACAGCGCCCCAGGCACCAAGGGCCAGGTCGGCTGCCCACTGAGGTGGCTCTGGGACAGCTCAGGCCTTCCCAGTGCCCAGGACAATTGGAACCATGCAGTCCCCCTTTTCCTACACACAACACTCTAAACAGGAACATAGAAACACAACATTTTGCACTCACAAATCCGGGGCCTCACTCACACATTAATTTAAATTCAAACAGATAGAGACACACCGACGAAAATGTACATGTATGTGATTAAGGCACACAACTACATGTATTCATACTTATCCATACTCAAAATTATGTATAAGTTGACCTCTGCACAAGTACATGCTGTACATACATGCATGTGTACATGTCACTTCACAGAGCAAAATGAGCACTTAGGTGGGAACCACCTAACCCGCTCCCTCGCCCTCCACCTTGCCCAGTGTGATCCTAGCCTACTTTCCCAATCTCGTTCCCGACCATCCTTCTGTCTTTATGCAAACCCTCCATACTGCTCACACCGCGTGAGATAACCAGACAGCTGGCAGGAAGCCTCTAGCAATGCTCACTTCAGGAGAAGGTATGACCATTTGTGGCCCATGATGAACAAAGCGACAGGAAAGCCCTTGGAGCCTGAATGTCCCACTCGGCTTGCCCGTCACACCCTGCCTGGAATTGCACCATCAGAGAGCCATTCCTGTGAATAAGACCCACCAAACGTTGAGGGGACACTGGAAAAGATCCTGGGGCCCAGCCCTCACACTGCTCTCAAGATCACACAGCCCAGAAAGGAGAAGTCATTCAGTAAGGACATGTAGCGAATCTGTGACAGTGTCAGCACAGAACCCAGGTCTCCTAACTTGTCTTCAACCCACCGTTCTGATCCTTGGGTAGAGGAGTGAGCTGGTAGACAGCTGGGATCACAGGCAGGTAGGGGCTCTGCTCTGGTCCAGCTGAGCCTGCTTGGGTATGCTGACTCCAGGAGCTTGGCTTAGAGTCTGGGGCCCAGTGCTCATGAGCTATCCTGAGGCTCTCTTCCATCAGAATCTTCTCTGGAGAAAGGTGGCATTGCAGCAAGGGAGCACTCCAAACCCTTCCAGAATGGCTGGGAACTCTGGGAGAAAGGGCAGGAGCTTGAGTAAGAACAGCTGAGACCTTTCTCCCGTCAAGTGAAGCCAAGTCCTGGAGGAAGGACACACAGGATCAACTCCAACGGCAGCCTGGGTTCTCCCAGGACAGAAGAGGGAAGAGAGGAACCCCATCTCCCAAGGCTGGGTGGGATGAACTTCTACCTTTCCCACAATCCCACCCCCACCTTTAGATCCCTTTGCAGGCACTCGTCCCCCTGCCCTCACCCTCTTAAAGGGAGATTTCAGGGTGCACTTTAAAGGTACAGGAAAAGACTCTCTACGAACCCCAACTCTACTCCTTGCCCCAAGCAGGGACATACCCCTTGTGCCCTTGGCAGAACCAGGCCTTACCCAGGAAGAAGCAGATCAGGGTGAGGAGGAAAGCCAGGGTGTGCCCACCCAGCCCCTGCACACAGCAGCCACAGCAGCAGACCCACTGCCTGGGCTGCAACACGGACAGAAGCTTGCAGCTTGGAGAGCAATCAACTCCTCCTCAGATGCCCACGTTTCAGCCCCTACCTTATCAGAGCAGCGGCCTCCTGAGCCCAACTTCAGGCATCTCCAGGTCCTTCCAAGACTCTCTCTATCCTTTTGTCAGTGTTGTGGGTTGAATTGTGCCCCCCTAGTCCCTGCTGCAAAGATGTTGAAGTCCTGACCCTGGTGCCTATGAATGGGACTTCACTTGGAAATAAGGCCTTTACAGAGTAATTCAGTGTAAAATGAGGTTATACTGGATTAGGGTGGGTCCTAACTCCAACAGCTAGTGTCCTTCTAAGGCCATGTGAAGTTGCAGAGAGGCAGGGAAGATGGCCATGTGAAGACAGAAGCAGAGATTGAAGTGATGGGTCAACAAGTCAGTGGTCCAGTGGTAGGTTTTTAGATTGCCAGAAGACGCCAGAAGCTGGGAAGGAGAAAGAAAGGATTCATTTCCTTCTGAGGACTACTCAGAGGAAGCACGACTTGTTGCTACTTTGATTTTGAAGTTCTAGCCTCCAGAACAGTGAGAGAATAAATTTCTACTGTTTTAAGCCACTCAGTTTGTGGTACTTTGTTACTAGGAAACTAATGCAGGCAAATTCAGCTCCCCAGATGGCTACATTCAGCACATGGTCCTTCTGCTCAGAACCTCTGGGAGCTCCCCACTGCCAGCCGCACCCGGCACGCACGGCCACCCCGCCACGACCTCCTTACCGCTGCTCTTCCACTTCACCCCTCTCCATCTCTCCACCAGCAACCTCATTGGCTCCACAGCATCCTGTTCTCATTCAGTGGGAGGGAAAAGAGGAAGAGAAGTGGAAGACAAATAAAAGTTTGAACCTGGGTGACTGGAGTCCCTGATGGAAATCAGAAGGCTGAAAGAGGGACGTGGTCTACAGGCAGGGGCATGGGCGTGTCTGTGCCATTGAGGGCAGTTCAATTTTGTGCAGTCAGAGGTGGCCTGAGGCATTGGGAAGAACAGGGCTAGAACGCAGACTGGAAAATATATGATGTCTGCCCAGAAAAATCCCAGCCATTGTTAATATAATGGGAACAGTTTGTGCAATATCCATGTAACACGGCAGCCAAGAAAAGTGGACTGGAAAACGCATGCATGAACAATGATGACTTCACTGTACTAGTTAATGGGGGTGGTTAGACGCCGTTGAGTGAGCATGTGTAGTGTGTGACCTTTGCATTCAAAATGATTGAGCAAGTAGAGCAACGAATCTGCATCAGATTTTTGCATTAAGCTTGAACATTTATTTCTCTGTGGAAACTATTCAGGTGATTCAGAAGGCCTCAGCTATGGCCAACTGGTGACTGGCAGCTGCATCATGACAATGCACCTGCTCATGCATTGTATCTTGTAGGATTTTTTACGAAACATCAAATCACCCGGGTGACTCAGTCACCTATAGCCCAGATTTGGCCCCCAGTGACTTCTGACTTTTCCCAAAATTAAAATTGACTTCGAAAGGGAAGAGATTTCAGACCATCAATGAGATTCAGGAAAATATGATGGGGATGGGGCAGCTGATGGTGACTGGGAGAACTGTGTGAAGTCCCAAGGTGCCGACTTCGAAGGGGACTGAGGTGTCATTGTCCTATGTACAATATTTTTTGTATCTTCTTCAATAAATGTTTCATATTACATGGCTGGATACCTTATGGACAGACCTCGTTTATAGGGGCTTTTAACCAACACAATGGTCCCGCAGGCCTAAGCCTGACACTGAGAAGAGACAAGCAGGAGGGCCTCCAAGGGGAACCAGAAATGGTGACTTTGAAGGCGCAGGGGGGAGCTCTGATCAGAAGGCAAAGGGAGGCATCCCCTTTGCCTGAGGGCTCGGTACTTGGCTTCTCTGAGACTTCGGTAACTTGGCTGTAAAGAGGAAGAATCCTGCCTGCCTCACAGAAGGACATTTTATATGTAAAAGAGGGGAGGGGTTAAAACAACTTCTTTCTCAGTTTGACCTGGAGGCAGGCACACAGCCTCCTGCCTCCTGAACTTCTGTTCTCTCACCTGCAGGTTAGAAACAGCAATTCCTACCTTTAGGAAGGTTGGCAACGTAGGAGTATAGGACAGAGGCACCTGGCATGATGTGCACTCAATAAACACAGCTTCTGTGGGTGATAAAAGGCATTATCAACCGTGGGAAATTGTACCAACTCGCTTTGGCCTTCTCTAGGTAGCTGACTACTACACTGCAAACTCGTCAAGGACAGGACTGGCTTGGACCTTTGTCCCAGGAGCCTGGCATTCACTTATACCCATTCACTGAATGTGTGCTATCCCAGTGCTGAGATGCAGCAGTGAGCAAGGTGGCCGAACGCTCACTTCAAAGAGCTTAATCACGTGTGCTTATGTTGTTGGGGGGCGGGCAGGGAGACAATTAGCAAAGAAAGAAATAAACAAGAAAATTGTGAGGTAACAAGGTACAGAGCATAAAAACAGATCAATTAGGCGCTGACCCACGTGGCCCAATTGTTTGGGCGTCCTCCCACAATGTCACTGCTTAGATCCCACATGCCTGGGTTCAGGTTCAATCCAGGTCCCAGTCAGTTGTGGCACTTGCGAGGAGCAATGGAGATGCAACCTATTGAGAAGCAATCCATCGATGGTTCTCTCTCGCATCGACCTTTCTCTTCCTCTCTCTCCCTCCCTTCCCCTCTCTCTGAAAATAAATAAATACAATCTTTTTTTAAAAAAAACAACCCAAACAGGCCTATGAGTATAGAGAGTGGCAACTTGAGATCAGGGAAGAGTTCCCTGCAAAGGTGAGTTTTCTGCTGAGACTAATAGAATCCAAGGAGCAGCTATGAGAGGGTCAGAACAAAGAGCATTCCAGGAGGACAGAGGAAAAAGAGCGAGGGCCCAGTGGGAATGGGCCAGGCAGATTCAAGGAACAGAACAGAGTAATTGGGAGGAGGGAAAGGGAATGGCAAAGGGTATTGCACACAGTAGGTACACAGTGGGTACTTCTCACCTTGGGAATCTGCACGTGGGCATCTTGGGCATGGGAGGCCATAACCATGCTCCCGGGTTAGTGCTGAGTCCAGATAACCTCTTCACCTGGCCCACAGGGAGCTCAGAGTCATAGATCCCAGGAACCTGAGCCCTGGCAGTGTCCACCCTCGCCCTTTTATTCATTCATTTATTCACCTCCTCATCAAATATGAGGGGGAAACCCAAGAGAAACCAGAATTTATTTATTCAAAACTGTGTATTTATTCTTACATGTTTAAACTTCAGTCACCTTCAAAATACTCTCCATTTGATGCAATACACCTATTGAGACATTCTCTTCCACTGCTCAAAACAGCTTTTGAACTCATTGATTTTGATGCCTTTTAGTGCTTCTGACAGTTTTTACCTTTTCCATATTGGCAGAACATTTCTCTTTGTGGAATTTTTTCCATCTGTGGAAAAAAACAAACAGAAAAGTCTCTCGGGGCAAGATAAGGTGAATAGGGAGGGTGGGGCACAAGAGTCATGTTATTTTTGATCAAAAACTGCTGAACACTCAGCGTGGTGTGGGCAGGTGCACATTTAAATCAGCCATTGTGAAATGGGCAAACACACTGAAAGTCTTCAAAAAAATTTCACTGAAGCTGAATGCAGTCTCTTACAACAACGCCAGCTGGTACACTGATACAGGTGGGTTCCTAGAATACTCACCTACCGGAGGAAACCTATACTGCAAGTGTCGACAGCAAATCATCCTTCAGAAGAAAACTGAAGTCCGGAGCTTGTCTAGGCAGGACTCTTGTGGTTCCCGGCACCATCAGCTGTGTTGCCGCGATTTCCAGCTCTTAATCCAAACCCATGTGGCACCTTCTCATGGCCCACTAGCAAGAACCCTTTTTCCTCTTTCCTTCCATCATGGTCTTCGCATTGTTTCCCCATGGCATGGGGCAAATGATCACTGAGCTCTCATGCACACACGCTGAGTAGCTGTCTGCGTGGCTACTACATCTTGGTTTCCTGCTCCCCAAAACTGCGTGGTCAAAAGCCTCTAACATTGTGCTCGCTTTGGCAGCACATATACTTAAAAAAAGCCTCTAGCGTGGCTGCAGAGCCTGAGTCCTAACCCCGGTGGGAATCCTCCCCCACAGCCCCATCTCCAGCTCCTTCCAGAGGTGCTGCAACCCGGGGAGCTGCTTGCCCAGTTACATCCTGGATTAAATTTATGCAAACATTCCTGGTTAGTCTTGTTGATATGCAAAATAACCATCTTTGCAAATGAGGTATGAAGCTGAGGCAGGAGGTAGTCAGGAAGCAGGAGGTAATCAGGAAGCTGGAGAAATCCAGAGGTGCCCCAAGGCTAAGATAAAGAACATGGATAAAGGGCGGACACGCTGTCCTAAGTCTGGTAGTTCTGCATCTGGAAAAGCATTAAATCCTAGTTAATCAGGACTGCACCTGCGCAGAAGATGCTACCTGACCCCTACTTCATTATAATAAATTAGCATTGTGGGACCCTCTTCCCCATAGTCAATCAAGGAAATCATGGGAGACCCACCCTAAGGCATAAAAGTCCCCTAGCCCCTGAGTTCGGGGCTGCTGCTGTTAGACTCTTCTCTACTGTTCTCTGCTCCACTCTGCTCAGAGTTGGCCTGCTCCCATGTTCTGTGTGGCTTAATAAATCTGCTTTTTCTCACTTTCTGCTATAAACTCTGTGTGTTCGGTTCAATTTTTTGTCCGTGATCACCAAGAGCCTGGTTACCTGTGCCCACCTGTGACAAAGCTATCCTGCTGTTATTGACATGCAGAATGACTCTCGATGGCCCTGCTCCATGTCTCCCATCCCCCATGGCAGCCCACCTGAGGGGGGTGAGAATATCCTGCATTTTTCTTGGACACCCCAAGTTCTGGACCCCGCTACAAATCCCTGCTTTGGGGAGCCCTGGCTGTACCCCGTATCACAAGGGGCCTGCCCTCCAGAAGTTAATTCTGGTTTTATTAGAGGGTTCCCTCCTTATAGTTACTGAGTACCAGCTGCATCTTGAGTCTCATTCCAGGGCCTGGGGACACAAAAACGACCAAGGTCTGGTCTCAGTGCCATTTGGGAAGTGAGACAGAACCCATAGTAACACTAGATCTGTGAGAGACATTCCCTCTCACACTGCAGAGGCACAGAAGAGGGAGCAAGCAGTCAGGCCTGCAAGAACCCAGGGACGGTGTCCCACAGGAGTTGATCCCTGAGCCTGGCCTGGAGGGCTGAGCCGTCCTCTCCAGCGTGGAATGTAGAGAATGGTAGTCTAGAAGGAGAGAACAGCGTGGCTAGACCAGGAAGTGGGGTGTGGAAGGGTCCATGGGCCAGCACAGAGACGTGGACAGGGAGAGGCCGCAGGGGCCAGGGTGAGACAGGCCCTGGGGCATTGCCTCCAGAACTTGGACCCGATCCTGTGGGTGGTAGAGACTATGAGGTTTCCCTGTTTGTTTTACTGTGGAGGGGTCTGAAGGGAGCCACACAAAATTGCCTGGTGACAAAGTGCAGTCTGAAACCAGCCTCTCCCCTGGACCTGCCCCCGTGAACTCAGTGTTCAGAGGCCTCAAGAAGGGTAGATGTACAGGGACAAACCAAGCTGGCCCTTCTATGTGCCTGGAACCTCTACTGCAAGGTAAGCCGGCTCTCGACAGGTCTCCAGGCCTGCCATGAGACAAGCCAAGAGCTTGCAGCCTGGCACATTCCTGTGTTTGTGAGAAAAGGAGCCTGAAACCCTTAAGCCTCTTATTGCTCTCCACTCCCAGATGTGGTCCCTCTTCTGTTAACTCTCTGGGGTCCAGGTGCACAGGAAGGTTACCTGCCACTAGAGGTGAGATATGGCACAGTCCACCTCCCCAGATGGAAGGATGGAGCCCAGGTGTCCTGTTCTCCAGATCCCACCTGCTCCAGGCTCTTCACCTTTCTGCTGCCTGAGGCAGGGGGCAGACGGAGAGTGCCGGGGTCCAGCCTCGGCGGGTCTCAGGGTCCCTGAAGGAGAGACGGCGTCAGCGCAGAAACGGAGGGAGACAGTAGGGTGAGGTGCAGGAGGACGGCCAGACTTGGGAGTCTGGACTGACAGCCTTTAAACTCAGAAACTTTATTTTTATAGGGATAAAACAAGGAACTGATACAAGGCGTGATTACATCAAAGGTTATTACAAAAAATAGCACAGCGTAGTTTAGGGAAACTTAAAAACAATCATTTTTAGTAAAAGTTACTTTGATTGAAAAAATACCATTGTTTGCAGATATAATAGTACTAGGCAAAGGTTATTCTGACCAGGAGGGCTATTCAGACATTCAAAGAGAGCAAGAAGTATAGAATGTTGCCTCCTACTAAATGTCTATCAATAATTCTCAAAAATTAACAAAGGTTAAGACAAGTTCAATAGACAGAGTAGTTATTCTATAAAAGTTACTTTTAAGCTTTTTGTGCCTACCTGTCTGGGGAGATGGTTGACGTCTTGTCTGTTTCGTTTAGGTGCAGCCCCTGTGTCCTGCGCAGCCTTTAGAACTAACCAAGGCCATAGAGGGTTCAGCAGCCCTAGGGGCTGTCCCTGTGGAGGTTTAGCTTTAAGCCGTACACAAAGAGGAGGATTTCTATGTATTTGTTCCCAAGTACTTAAATCATAATACCTAACTAACTTCCCTGGCTTTCACCCACATGTCTCCATTAATCCATGCTCCTGCCCAGGGTATTGGAGGAGTAGTGGTCTCCATAATTCTGAGAGGCAGCGTCCCACCAGGGGGAATTCTCAATAGAACTTTTCTTCACTTTTCTGGCATCTGGTCTGCCCAATGTCTAATATTAACTTTCCTGACAGGGGAAGTGAGAAGCAGCGAGGCGTGTCATAGGCTTTTGCAAATTAATAATTCTTTCTGGGCAGTATCAGAGGAATGTTGCGAGTTTTCAGCAGTAGGGTACAAACACCGTAAAACCCCACCACCAACCACCAATAATAGCAGGCATGCAAGGGGGGATCACCGAGAGACCCAGCCGTGCTGCTTCTGCTGTGCAGTTGCGCCTCATTCATCCCGACTGTGTCAAGGGCCGGATGTTGGTCGGCTCCTGACAAGAGAGGAGGCAGTTTATCTCAGCCCTGACTTCCCGAGGGCTCTGCCAGAGGAAGGAAAACTCTCTGCCATCCTGGCCATGGGAGATGGGACAGCATCGAGCCCATGTCCCTTCCCGTCCTGTAAGAGAAGAAAGCTGGCCTATACTGCAGGTGCCAAATCCTGCTAATCTGGTTTCCCTTCTTACCTGAGACGTAAGGAGGGAGGGGAGGAGGGAGCAGAACATCTCCTGGGGCCTAGGTGAGAGGGCAGGAGTCCCAGTGGCAGCACCCCCATCGTTCTCCCTCCCTGGAGGACCCCCAGAATGGACGGAGGAGCCTTGACTGTGTATAGGAGAGTGGCGGCCTGGGGAGGTTGCAGAGGGGCACATCTCCGTGTGTGGGTTCGACGTGGGAGCAGGGCGATTGTAGGAACAGGTGACACGGTGCAGAGATCTGCCTGTTGGACATTTCTGCAGTGGCAAATGCCCTTCTGAGGGCTGCTTGGCTTAGGGTCGCTGATGGCTGTGCCCTTCGAGCCCCTCTGGTCCTGAGAGAAGAGAAGTCTTTCCTGAGGCTGCACAGGGAGCGGAGGAGTATCCCCCACACCAACAGTGTCCCATTCCCCCCAGAGACCTTCTCCCAGGGTGACAATGGCCCTGGCCCTGTGTTGCCCTCCACCCACTCCTCTCCAGCCAATGTGGCTCAGCCCCTCTTAGAGGCCCACAGGCCCTCCGGAATGTTTAGGCTGAACTTGCCTCTTTGGAGTCTAGCCTTGAACCCTCACGCTGCAGCGCCAGTCCTGATGGAAGGAGCCCGTGCCTCCTTGCATGATCTGGGCCTCTCCCTGTCCAAGGGCTCGCGGACTTCCTGGTGGCTTTTGCACCTGGGAAAGGTTCAGCTTTCCTAAGAACCAAGGTCTGGCAGGGAGTAAGGTTGCAGGAAGGGCAGGTGAGACAAAGGGAGAAGGGAGCTGGAGCTCAGGTTTCTGCCAGCCCTGGGAGGATCCCAGTGGTATTAGGGAAGAGTTCCAGCTCTCCAGGCTTAGGGAGCTTGGCTCTGTCCCCCTTCACCAGTCCTAAAAGGCCAAGTCCTGAGCTAGGTCAGAGTGAGAGAGGAGG